CTGTCAGCTCTGACAGTGAGACGCCGTGAGGAGCCATGAGGAGCTGGAGGCTCATTCTGGACGGAGGTGTGAGGATCTGTGTGCTGTTTGAGGGCCGGACTGTGTTTACAGGGCTGGCGTGGCTCTGACAGGGGGGTTGCTCGGAGTGGGGGGGTGATGAGGCGGTGGTACAGAGACAGTGTTGTTCTGCTCATCTTTCAAGTCTGCATTAAAGCAGCAGAGCTGAGAACGTCTGAGGGCGAGAACAGTTCAATTCTCACACAGACTCCTTCTCTCTCTCCCTCTCTCTCTCTCTCTATCTCTCTCTCTCTCTCTCTCTCTCCCTCTCTCTCTCTCTCTCTATCTCTCTCTCTCTCTCTCTCTCCCTCTCTCTCTCTCTCTTTCTCTCTCTCTCTCCCTCTCTCTATCTCTCTCTCCCTCTCTCTCTCTCCCTCTCTCTCTCTCTCTATCTCTCTCTCTCTCTCTCTCTCCCTCTCTCTCTCTATCTCTTTCTCTCTCTCTCTCTCCCTCTCTCTATCTCTCTCTCCCTCTCTCTCTCTCTTTCTCTCCCTCTCTATCTTTCTCTCTCTCCCTCTCTCTCTCCCTCTCTCTCTCTCTCTCTCTCCCTCTCTCTCTCTCTCCCTCTCTCTCTCTCTATCTCTTTCTCCCTCTCTCTCTCTCCCTCTCTCTCTCTCTATCTCTCTCTTCCTCTCTCTCTCCCTCTCTCTCTCGAGAATGTGCTGTATATGGTTCTATATAGCACCAAAGACGGTTCTGCTATTTTTATGATGTCAATCTTGTATACAATAGAAGAACCCTTTTTGGTGCTATAGAGAACCCTTTTCAAAAAGGTTCTAAATAGAACCATATGCGACGCATATATACAGAACCATTGTCTTTAATAAAGAACCCCTGAAGAACCATCTTTTTTAAGTAGTGATGCATCAATACCATTTATTCTGAGTACAAGTACATGTTTTTAAGTACACACTTAAAAAGGACAGTTCTTCAAGGGTACTTTAGTAAGGGTACTTAAGTAAAGTACCCTAAAGTACCCTAAAATACCCTATTTAGAACTACGAGTCACTATTTCATGCTTAAATGGTTCTCTGCATAGCGAAATGGTTCTTCAGACTGATGGAGAATGTGCTGTGTATGGTTCTATATGACATCGAAGGTCAAGCTCCTTGGAGGAAAATGCAATATTTTCACTTAAAAGATCAATAAAACATACAGTTTGAAACACAACTGTAGGCACATCACATAAATATCAGTATCGGCTCGTGGTTCCCGTATCGGTGCGTCCCTCGGTCTGAGGGTTAATTCAGCTGTACGGTTCCACTCCCTGCGACTCTGCAGCACTACGATCCGCTTTTTCCTGAGTTCAGATCCGCCGAAGCGCCTGCGCGGCGTTCCGCGGAGCTCTGAGCGCGTCCCTCATTACAGACACAGACCCACATTATCAGCAGGTCCGGACACGACCAGCAGCCGAGCGCCGCTCGCCCAGACGGGGACAGCGCGAGTGCGTCATGCTCTAATCTCTGCGCGCTGACGTGCCAGAATGCAGGACCACACGCACTCGCTATAACGTACACAGCCAGGAGGAGCTCACCTGAGCACAGGTGAACAGGTAAACACACACAAAGACAACAAAGATGACAAAGACGACAAAGAACGTCAATAAAACTATAACAAAAGGCCGTTTTAACCGCACAATCTACAAGGTTCCACACGTCAGCTCTCATACACAGGTATAATATTTAATTATGAAATGATCCACAGCTCTGTTACTGTTACCGTTACCGTTTAGACCATAACTGCTTAAACAGGAGGACGTCTGTAGCAGCAGAGCTAGTAAAGCTCTATCATAAACATATACGCTGATCATATATGGTTACTGATGAAGAGATGTGATTATCATTGGGGTTTTATATCATTAAAACCAATAACAGCCCCATCAGCACTATTAAACTAATTTATAGTACATAATGGTTAATTAATAATTATTACAATTATAAACTATTATTATAATTATGAAATAAGTCAGAATATATACTGAATAATTCATAGTAGAATAATTCTTAGTAATTACTGAATTATTCATGAATAATTAATAAGACATTGAATATTCATAATAGATACTCAATCATTTGTTAGATACTGAAGAACTCATGAATAATTAAAAGCAGATACTGAATAATTCATAGTAGTTACAGAATAATTCATAAAAGATGATGAATAATTCACAGTAGATACTAAATAATTCATAGTGATTACTGAATAATTCATAATAGATGATGAAAAATTCGTAGTAAATGCTGAACAATTTATGGCAGATGCTGAAAAATCCATAGTAGATGCTGCATAATTCATGGTAGTTACTTAATAATTCATGAATAAGTCATAAGATACTGAATATTCATACTAGATACTGAATTATTTGTTAGATACCGAAGAACTCATGAATAATTCATGAAAAATTCAAAGCAGATACTGAATTATTCACAGTAATTACTGAATAATTCTTCAGAATAAGTCAGAATAAAATATTCTGATTTATTCATAGTAGATATTAAATACTTCATAGTAGATGCTGAATAATTCATAGTAGATACTGAATAAATCATAGTAGATACTCAATAATTCATAGTAGATACTCAATAATTCATAGTAGATACTGAATAAATCATAGTAGATACTGAATAAATCATAGTAGATACTGAATAATTCATAGTGGATGCTGAATAATAAATCTTAAGAGTAATAACTCAACAACTGCGAATTAAAAGGTTCAGAGAAACCAGGCCACATATTAGACTCTTAAACAGTACTGAGTAAAGTGTGAGAGGTTTTTGATCAAGCTGTTAAATTTAAACCAGCTGAGTCAAATTTAATCAGAAAAACAAGAAGCGCAGGGCCGTCTGTGTAAAGCCTGTAAAACAACTGCTGTAACATCACACGCCGGAGACCACCAGCGCGACTCAAAACTAAACACGCCCCTCAAAAGGACGACAAAAGAGAATTTCATTCACAACATCGCCCCAAAAGCAAAGAGACAGAAACCACATCAGACGGACGGCACCGTGGGTGGCCCTCGCGCTGTCTGCGTCGTAAAATAAAAAAAATCCCATAATCCCACATAATTACAGTGGCCAAAAACAAAGATACCTGTAACAAAATACCCTTCATGTGAGTGAACGGTGAATGAAACGCAGGACGTGGCGGGGATTTTCACCCGTTTGACAGCAATCTAGGCTGAATTTCTCAGCTTTCTCGGCTTCGTGTTGCACCAATATCAGACGGATCCCATTACAGTGCAAACACAGTGCGTTCATATGATGCCACAGTCGTTCTTACATTACTAACATCACTATTTCAGACCGATTCAGTGGGGACAGTCCACTTCTGGAGTGAAAAAAGTGATGCACTGGGTTAACTTATGGATGAATAGACATGATTACTGATCAAAAAGTGAGTACAAACTGTACCTGTTTAAGTATTTTAATAATTTTCCACATTTAAATCGTGAAAATTCATCTTTCCCACCGCACAGAAGGGCCTGTCTATAAGCCTAAAACCTGGTTTATGTAATTGGATGCAACTGAATTTAGCCTAAAAGGGGACTGAGCTCAAGCAAGCTCCATTTCAAGGCTTTTAAAGGGGAACTCCACCAATTTGTCAAAATTTCTGCATGATTAAACGGTTAAGATGTAAACAGAGCGGTTCAGAGCAGTTCAGTGTGAAACGCCCCGTTCCAGAGAAACTTACCGAGTCAGAACTGTTCACAGTGGTGGTGATAGGAACCAGACGTCCACCTCTAAAAGCTCCCTCACAGAAAGTTCCTACATGAAATGGTTATGAATTCACTGCCTGATGACTGAGACACTGTTTATGATAGTTTTGTGATAAAGTTTTGGCTTAAAATGTATTTTAATCCATTCATGGTGAAGGGAAACATGCAGGGTTGGTTCTGGATAGTAAATAAAATGTCTATATTTGTGTTGTAGTCATGGTGACCCCTGGTTCCTATCACCACCACTGTAAAGACATCCGAACCATTTCACACCAAACCACCTTTAACCCTTCTGAATATGTATACTGGAGATTCATGCAGAAACTAGGATGCACAATGAATGAAAGCAGGAAAAGCAAAGCAAACGGACGCTCTGAGACGCGCTGTGCTCCTTCTTTTCATCAATTATTGACATTGCTTAGTAAGCCATTGAATAAAAGCCCTGAATCAGCTTCAAACACGCTGGTCTGGGTTCAGATTTGCACAGACAAACACCGTTTCAGTGCTTCAATCAGTGCAGGATGGAGCTGTAATATGGATTATTAGTCAGAGCGATCAGATTAACGGCTCAGAAAGTTCAATATCAGCACAGATCGATATCCTAAAGTCCTCAGTTCACTCCAGACTGTGTCCAAACAGCCTTAAATTCATATATAAAGATGAGAAATGTACCTTCGCTGCTCTCACAGCGAGCCGAGCGGTCTGTGTGCACTTGTTTTCTACTTCTCTGATTCAGAGCGGCCACCAAGTTCAACGCACAAAAGAAAATCTCGAAACTTTTACGATAAAAGTGATCGATCGAACGGCGAAGCTTTCTGTTCTCGCTCAAAATCATTTTCTCTACACATTCAAGTCCACGCGCGCGGTCAGAAACAGAGCAGAGCGGCTCTCCGGTTGTTTTGTGTGCCCCTTCATCACCCCACCGAGTCCCGGCAGCATCAGCGGGGCTCCGGCAGCGGGGAAGCCGGCGAGGTCGCACCGCAGCCCGGCCGTATGCGGCCCGGCGCCCCGCTGACCCCCGCCGGAGGCTGGGAGTCCGAACAAAGGGGATCAATTTCTGATCAATGAGGTGCGAAATATCAATAATAAAGGTCCCACACTGGCCCGGCTGAAGCACCGAGGAGGCTCGGGTCCAACAGAGGGAAAAAAACGAACCGGGTTAAACGAGAAGGCGAAACGAGCGACAGGAGAAAAGTGGAAAAATAAAAAAGTTTTCTCTCTTTTTTACCTGCAGCTGCTGCAAATCCAACTGCTTCCAATATTGGAACATCGATCCGGCGTTGGCCGCCATCTTGAGACATATTGAGAATGAGAGAGAGAGAGAGAGAGAGAGAGAGAGAGGGCAAGGGAGAGAGAGAGAGAGAGAGAGAGAGAGAGAGAAAGAGAGAGAGAGAGAGAGAGAGAGAGAATAGAAAGAGAGAGAGGGGGAGAGAGATAGAAATAGAGAAAAAGAAAAAAAAGAAATGAAAAGAAGGAGGCACTTATTTATGTAAAAAAAACATAAATAAATAAATAAAATAAAAAATAAATAAAAAACAGCACGTGGTATGGAATGGCTTTATTTGCTTATTCATCATTATTTCAATAATCAGCCTCATTATTTTATGATGTAAATGTGCCAGAATGAGCTAAATGGCTAATTTTCATGTTTTTATTCAGGAAAAAATGATTAACATATATGTGAGATACATTTCAAGTACATAGTACATTAATTCCTTCCAACAGAGCTATTTTCATACATTAAATGCATATAAATGTTTTTTCTGTGTTTGTTTTCTGTTTTTTCTTTATTTTCTGCTAAAAATCTAAAGCACATTTATGCAGAAGTGTTTTATCCAAAGCGCTCAGCTAGCGGGAGGAATTCTAGCTAAGCACCAGAAGTGTTTATAAGCAGTTTATGCACTAACATAAACAATGTATAACTATATGTTCTGAGTTCTGTGGAATGCTTTAGCTAGAACACGCTGACTTCTGCTTTAGGCTGTAAATGTGTTACACAAGCTTCTGTTAGAGCGCATTAGCATTAGCATTAGCACTGGCTGAATGTTGAGATTGGGACGAAGCATATTAGCCAGAGCACTCAAACACGTTTGTGAGCTTTCTAATCAGAACAAATGAATGCTCAAGCACTCTATATGCCCTCTTAGTGTTCTAGATAAGTGTTCTAGATCAAGAGCACAACTGTGTTCAACATGTTTACATTTTGTGTTTACGCCTCTAAATGAAGAGGCCCTTTTGACTGGTTAGCTTAGCTTCCTCAAACACTGCAGACAGTCATTTCTGCAAAAATATTTCACCATATCATTCACTGTTTACTCTCTGTTGTCCTGTTTTCATGATCATATAATCCACTGTATGATAGTGAACAAGCTTTATTTAGGAAATGTGACAATTAGTGACAATTTTGGCATTTTTGTGTAAATAATCTGTTTTACGATATCGTACCTAGATCTCCTTTCTTGTCTTGATATTTCTGTGTTGGTTTATTTAATTGTTTTTATTTACCGTTTGCTTCTATTTAGTTTATTCAATTAATTCTCCTTGCTATCTCCCTGGCTGTAATTTATTTGGAATTATATGAAATATGTTTATCTCTATTGTGGTTATATGAACAAATATTTAATAAACAGCATATATTTGGTGCAGTATGTTGTCTATCCCAGCTAGCAAAATTCATCTGGCTCACTTGTGGGTCACATCCTTGGTTTGTTCTGGCTCAGTATACGGCTGGGTCCTCGGCCCAGATCTGGCCCACACTCTATAAAGTGAGTAGAGCTAAAGCATATGGCCCAAATCCGGTACCAATCTGGCCCAACTACACTGCTGGTCCACAGTATTTACTCTAGAATTGTCTCACGAATGTAGACACAAGGCAAAATGGTATGAAGCTGTCCAGGATCTGGCCCTATTCTGGCCTGCATGCCTAACATCTACCCGGTAGTCAACGAACACTCGCATAGAAAAGCCAGAATTGGCCCAAAACTGTCTGCTATCTGGGATGTTTATTGTTTTCATTGTCTGTTTTGCTGCTCTTCTGCTGAAGCTTTTAGTTTCGAATTATTAATCCACAGAAATTTTACTCCTTAAAACATTTCATATTCAAAGCTATAACTATATACATATTCTGTCACTAGAAATGACTGCAGTGCATGTTTAATAATAAGAAACCAATAGTGAGATACTTGAACTTGGCCTTAGGGAGGAGCGCCCCCAGTGGCTCAAACACGGAACTGCACCTCATCAGCTGAGCTGAGGCTGAACCTGCATGCCTTGATGTTCCCTGAACCTGTTCTGGTCACAACTTTAGGCCTAATAATGATTGATCCGATTATTATTAAACTACCCAATCAATCTGTGATCACTGTGCACATATGTCGATGTTCTGTTCTGGTATAGGACATTTCTTTGACGTACAGTGCTGTTCAAAACAATGTTTTAAATATAATTATAAAATGATTTTCCTTACTTCATAGGTTTTGAATAATCCTTAAGAACGTTAATAAATGATTAAGGTTAACGAAGTTATAATAAATAAATATGATGCCTGACTTATTTTCAGATGTGGTGATTAAATCTGACTGTAAACTGAGGCACAGTATATTATTTTTCATTAAAAACACTATTTTTGATCCCAAAATACTTGGAATTGTAAATAAACCATCTTAAAAATACATTTTGCTGTCTAGTTTATAATATTTAAGTCTACATTACAGAAGTCATTGTTGTATATTCAAAGAAAACAACAAAGTGTTCTGACAAACGTTTGAATGGTCCTTATTTCTTTGTTGTTATTTCTACAATGTGAAGAAAACAATCAATGTAAAATGAATGTTTACAATCCAATTATACTGATTTGTTTGAACTGCAAATGATACAAGAAATGAAAAGCACTGATACTAGAAAATTCTAAAATCCCTCACTAATTCAGTAATTATTTAATCAGAGTGATTCAGGGTGGTTTGGGGTGAAATGGTTCAGATGTCTTTACAGTGGTGGTGATAGGAACCAGGGGTCGCCATGACTACAACACAGATATAGACATTTTATTTACTATCCAGAACCACCAGTGAACCTACACGAGTCTTCTGAGTTTTTATGGAATGTTGATGATGGAAAATAGTGGAAAATCTGAAATAATAAGTTTTCTTTGGGGACTATTTTGCCTCACAGCGCCCTGCATGTATCCCTCCACCATGAATGGAGTTTAAGTTCTCTAAACTATCATAAAACAGTGTCTCAGTCATCAGGCAGTGAATTCATAACCATTTCATGTAGGAACTTTCTGTGAGGGAGCTTTTAGAGGTGGACGTCTGGTTCCTATCACCACCACTGTGAACAGTTCTGACTCGGTAAGTTTATCTAGAACAGAGCGTTTCACACCAAACCACTCTGAACCACTCTGAACCACTCTGTTTACATCTTAACCGGTTAATTATGCAGAAATTTTGAAAAATGGATGGATTTCCCCTGTGAACAAGTACATGATTGCATTAAGAATAAAATACGTTGCAATATTACAATTCTGTTATTGGCAAGTGCTTTGATTTTGTGACATTGAAATGTGGAATTCACATTTGTATTAAGTCAATTCGGTGTAGTTCTTTCTTCAGTGTGAACGAGACTGAACTGGTTTACTAAAGGAATATTTCAGCATTTTTCAAACTAATCTTTATCTGATGTGTCCGTAGTGTAGAATCAATTTCCACAGATAATGATTTCCCTCTACTTCAAAAAGAGCAGAAAACATCCTGACTCTAAACTCATCTATAACAGAGGTCGATGGGCAGAAGCTGAACACGTCTGTTACAGTGATTTAAGAGTCAGTGAGTTTTCGTGATGTGATAATCGACTGTGCCCTACAGACAAATCAGATAAAGATTAGGTTATAAAACTCTGAGAGTGGGCGGAGTTCTAGTGTGGGCCCTGCGGGCTCAGGTGGGGATTGAAGCCCCTCCTCCTCCTTCAGGAGCTGTCAGAGGAGCAGGTCCCAGCGGCCGTGTGTTTTTCAGGCCCGTTTCCTCCTCCATGCTCTCGCCCCCGTCCTCAGCTCCTCTTTTAATCAAATAAAGCTCCTCCCGAGGCCTCGTCTGAAAACACGCCACACAGGGCTGCAGTTTAATTATGGATGTAAAGAGAGAAAAGCAGAGAGCGCTCGTTTACATTCGACTGGGATCAAATATTAGAAATACTCACTTTTATCCCTCCATCACTCTGTCCTCACTGCTTTTTCACTGTTTCTTTCTTCATTTAATCCATAAGGTTTGAATTTAAAGTGAATAAAGTGTGTGAAAGTTATACACCGACCAGCCATAACATTCTGACCACCTCATTGTCCATTTTATCAGCTCCACTTACTATATAGGTGCACTTTGTAGTTCTACAGTTACAGACTGTAGTCCATCTGTTTCTCTGATACTTTGTTAGCCCCCTTTTACCCTGTTCTTCAGTGGTCAGGAACCCCATGGACCCTCACAGAGCAGGTACTATTTGGGTGGTGGATCATTCTCAGCACTGCAGTAACACTGACATGGTGGTGGTGTGTTAGTGAGTGTTGCGCTAGTGTGAGTGGATCAGTCACAGCAGCGCTGCTGGAGTTTTTAAACACTGTGTCCATTCACTGTCCACTCTATTAGACACTCCTACCTTGTCGGTCCACCTTGTAGATGTAAAGTCAGAGACGATAGCTCATCTGCTGCTGCACAGTTTGTGTTGGTCATCCTCTAGTCCTTCATCAGTGGTCACAGGACGCTGCCCACAGGACGCTGTTGGCTGGATATTTTTGGTTGGTGGACTATTCTCAGTCCAGCAGTGACACTGAGGTGTTTAAAACTCCAGCAGCACTGCTGCATCTGAACCCTTTTGGTGCTATATAGAACCATACACAACACATTCTCCATCGGTCCTGAGAACTATTTCACCATGCAGAGAACCGTTTAATCATGCAGATGGTTCTTTGAGCACTCATGTTTCTACACAGCACCTTTTTTGAAAATGGTTCTATATAGCACTGAAAAAGGTTCTGCTATTGTTATGATGTGAAGCTTGTAACAATAGCAGAACCCTGTTTGGTGCTACATAAAACCATAAACAACTCATTCTTCATCAATCTGAAGAACCATTTCACCATACAAAGAACAATTTAGGCATGCAAATGGTTCTATATAGAACTCATGGTTCTAAATAGAACCATTCTCTTTACTAAAGAACCATTGAAGAATCATCTTTTTGAACTATGTATTATTATTATTATTATTATTGTACAAACTTTTAAAAGATGGTTCTTCAAGGGTTCTTTA